TTAATAATTATAAAATTATAAAAAAAAATGTTATGTAATCTGAATTATATCAAATTTTACATAATATTAATTATTAAATAATATTATAAAATTATAAAAAAATATCTCTTTATTTTTATTTCTTTTTTTAAAAGATTATTAATAAATAGTATAATTATTTTCTCAATCTATAATTTGAGAAAGCAAACTATAGTCCCTTTACTGCCAATTTTCATTCATTGTCCTCCCCATTCAAAGACCTCCCTCTATGCTTCCAAAATATTCTACTGTCCTCCTTTTACTTCAAGTTTCTTAGCTACTTACCACCCTCACTTAACACTCAGCTAACACCGTTTATAAGGGCCATCTAACGGATTTTTGTTTATTGTTAAACATTAACCCATTCATTAATTTATTATTTTTCTTATTGAATTTCAATTAGTGGGCGCCTACCAATTGCTTGTCAGTAACAAAGGCTAGCTCCACGGGTTTGGTGTTGACACCTACCTTGTGGTGTCAATACCATACATTAAGCTTTTAAAAAACAGGTTGTAAAGGAAATCAGTAGAAGGGCCAATGAGTGTATTATGATATCGACATTAAATACCCCTTTAGCTTTAAGAACTTTCATTTTTGTTATGGGTCCTACTTGTTTTTTAATTTGAATTCTTAAATTCTATAAATATTTATTCAAAACCAGGCTTGTAAATTTTTTATGGTAGAACAAGAGAGATTGTTAAGAGAAACTCAACATTTAAAAAAAAAAAATCAAATTTGAGATTTTATATCATTAAATTGATTTTGTTTGTTCTTGAATTTTACTTTATAATATTGTATATTCTTATATCATCTTGAGATATTTTATTTTTTAAAATTATAAACTAATTTAATCATCTATGGTTATGATGTAACATAATCAATTTGATATAGAATTTCATAATTATTATATTTTTAAAACTGGTTATTTTACATAAAGAAGATATTATTATTTTTAATTTTTTTTAATGATTAACCACCAATAAAACTAATTTAGAAAGCATAATTGAGACTAGTTTCTAGTAATATATATTATGAGTTAAAGAGAATTAGAGGTAAACCAACATGATTTGTGTAATATTAACAATAAGTGAATTTGATTTTCTATGTAAACTAAAGAATTTTATAGAACATAATGCATATTTATTTAATTAAATTTACATAAAAATATAATGGGTTAATAGGTGAAGATGAGTTTAATATAACTTGAGAAAATATATTGAATAGGATGAGAAATCTTATTGTCACATAAGTATTAAAGATTTTGAAAGTATATTAATCTAAATTCTATATTAGTTGAGTAAAATTGGATGTTTTAGAATCCAATTTTCAATTTAGAGCCAATTTAAGAACCCTGAATTTTGATCTTCATTAATTAAGAATCCGTTTGGGGAATGAGAGTGAGAACAACCAAATAAACTCAAATCAAATGTAAAATCTACCGTTGTTCTTCGATTAGAAAAATGGAACCTATTTAAGAATGAAAAGGGAATTTTCCTTTCAGTGTTAAAGTGGCAATCTTATTATCAAGAAACAGGGGAGGAGCAAGGGGAAGGGGCAAGCAGCATAGAGTTTCCCTTTTTTTTAATTAAAAAAAAATAGTCATGAAAGGAAAAGAGAAAATTAAATAATGGGGGTAAGACAATCAAATATATTCAAAAGATGTGATAATACCCCCACTTAAAAATATGTAATAAATTTTTTTGATAAAACTTATAGATTTTGTTGATAATTAAACAAGTATATCAAATAAAGCAACTACCTATAATGTGGCTTATTCGAATGAGTCAATTAAGTATTGAATTAAGAGCCTTCGATACCAGTAATTATCATAAAGATATTAACAAGCTAAAAGGAGGGTTACCCCATTTCATCCTCATTAAGTTCTGAGTAACTATACTTGCAATACCAAAGGTTAGGGGGTAGCAATTAAACTCACAAGTGGCAGTCCACAAGAGACCCCTCCAATTTCCTGGCTAAAACCAACATTTAACTCCTTACCTTACAAAATTAATAGGTTTTAACTCTTAACTTTATCATATGACACTTTTAGCTTTTTACCTTACAAAATTAGAAGCTTTTAACCCCTCACTTTACAAAATTGACAGGTTTTGACTATTCATCTTATACTATGACACTTTTAGCCCCTTATCCGTATGAATTGAAGAAAATAACCCTCACTTAATATCAAATTATAATGTTTTGTTAGTTTTGTTAGTTCCATTAGTTTTGTTAGCTAACTGTTAACTGACTGTTAGCATTCCGTTAATAGAACTAATAAATAAAATTGAATTTAAATTTCATATTTTCTATAACAGAATGCTAATTAATGTTAACAATCAGATAATAGAACTAATAAAACGTTATAACCTGATATTAGGTGAGGGTTATTTTCTTTAATTCGTATAGATGAGGGGCTAAAAATATCATAATATAAGGTGATGGATTAAAATCTACCAACTTTGTAAAGTGATGAGCTAAAACCTACCAACTTTGTAAGGTAAAGGCTTAAAAATATCATGTTATAAAATGAGGGGTTAAAGGGCTAAAACCTACTAACTTTGAAAAGTGAAGGGCTAAATGTTCGTTTTTGCCCCAATTTCCTATAGCACCCTAATCATCTCTTACAGTTATAGAATCGACATCCATCCGAATACCAAGGAAACCATGTATCAATGATGTCATATAGTTTACAAAAATCATCCAAAACGTGAAGCTTTTTTTGATATTATTTATATTTCATAAGTTTAAATTTTCTTCTTAAAATTTTACATTTTAAAATTTTTTTAACCTTAAAAAAACTTTAAATAGTAAAAATTTAAAAGTTTCAAATCTAAACTTTTCATAAACTTTATTTTTACTTACTTTTCACTCATTTTTTTCTATCTCTAAAAGTAACTTAAAAATTTTTTCTCTAATAAAAATTTAAATTTATCACTCGTACTCAAAAAGCAAAAACTCTCACAAATCACACCAAACAGCCCTTAGAGAATCTTGTTTTTGCTAACCCATTCTAAGTTCTACCCATTCAAAACAAAGTACTTGTTTGGATTAAAAAGGTTGGAGAGGGAGAAAGGAGAGCGAAGAAAAGATGCCCTATTTTCCTATTTAGATTTCATATTTTAAAGAAGGAGATGCAGATAGAGCTCCGTTAACTCCTTTGCTTTTCATCTTTCTAATTTGAAAAGATTGGAATGGATTTCTCTTTGCATTTACCTTTTTTTTTTTAAATA